GAGTTCTGTCGCCTGCAATCAAGGTCCTGGCTGACAGACAGCTTTGGCTCCAGCAGCCGTCCGCCCCGGCCACCTCCCCCAGCCTCGGTCTCTGGGCCCCCCACCCAGGCTTCCCCAGATGCGCGGCCGGCTCTGTCAGGCTCGCTCGGGGAATTTGCATTCTCTGAGTTCCAACTGTGTTTCAGCCTGTGCTCTGCAAGCCCCTAAACGCCGCGTTCACACTCTGCGTCCCACGGTGTCCGTCCGGGCGTGGGCCTTTCTCCACGGTCAACACCGGGAAGAGACGGGGACCCAGGTTAACCCTTTCTCATAGGTTCCTGAGGCCGGAGAAGGGCGTGGCGCACACAGCAGGCACCCTGTGCCCATTTGTTGAGCACCTGAGTTATAAGTGAACAGGTGACGTTCACTGCGGTCCGAGCGGGAGAGGGTGAGTGTCCCGCGGAAGCGGGCAGCGGGCAGTCGCCTGCTCAACCAGGCCGGGCCAGGGGGGCGGGGCAAGGGAGCACGGCCCCCTCTCTGTAGGTGAAAAAGCTCCTTGCCCCCTTCACCCAGGTTCCACTTCCGCCCCCCCAACCCCGGGACGGTTCTAAGACAACGGCGAGCTCCTGTCACCAAGCCCCCTTCCCCGCCGATCCTTTGTCTCCTCCTGTGCTCTCGGCAGCAGGAGGCCTCCCCTGAAATCCTGCTCCCCCTCGGTTCAGGGGAGCCCCCCACCCAGTTCCCCGCCTGGTCCTGAACGCGGGCTTTTCCCCGGGTGCAGGCCGGGCCCCTCCCCTCGTTCCTGCCCTCTCCCTGGACAGTCCCACCGACGCTCGGACCCTATGCCCTCCAGCCCTCCTCCTTTAGGCCAGACGTCTGCCCCGAGCCCCAGGCTCATGTCTCCAGTGGCTTAGTCACCAACCTGTCTCTCGTGTCATAGCTGAATTTACGTCCTAAATTGAAATAAATTTTCCACATCAATAAGAAGGCTTTTGGCTGCAAGTAACTGAAAAAAATGCCTTGACCAGTAAGGAGGTACGTTTCCTCCCGTCCCGAGAAGGCCGGGGGCACGGAGACGGCCCCTTCCCCTCTCTGCTCCACCATCGCAGCGTGCGGGCTGGGACCTCCAGCTGGGCGCGCCACCTTAGCGAGAAGGCTGCTCTTTCCAGGCACCGCAAAAATGTCTTGCCGACGAGGGCCCGGTCCTCAAGGTGTCGCTTTTCTATGACGGAGGGACATGTTCCCAGAAGCCTCTCTGCTCCTGGAAAACTGGACCCCATGCTTGCGCCCACCTGCGCGGGAAGACGTGGAGGCGAGACCTCTGCGCCCCACGGTCACGGTCACCTGTGCGCCAGAGGGCTAAGTGCTCTCCCGGCAAAGCCCCTGCGTGAGCTTGTCTGTGTGCCAGGTGGTGCTCGTGTGAACTCTCGTTCTTCAAAGGCACGTAGGTGCCTGTGCCTGTGTGACGTGCATGCGTGTGCCCCCGTGGCTGGGAGGGATGGTGCCCCACCAACTGCGGTTCTTTGGTTAAGAACTCACGAATGGATCTTGTTTCTTGAAAATGTTAGCAATTTGGACATTTCTCATGAGATGCTTTTTACGTGGCAAAAAGGGGGCGGAAGCACGACGTGACAACAGGGAGACTCTCGAACACCCTAAAGAAGGTGATCTCATTTCCCACTATGGCGGGCAGCGTGACCCGCCTCCGGGGCCGGCAGGACGTCGCCGCCCGCCCCACAGACGTCGTCTTCGTCCCCGGGCCCCCGCGACTGTACACGGGGAAACGGGGCCGCAGCTGCGATCACGTCGAGCGTCCTGAGAGGGGACGGCCCCGGGGTGCCGGGGCGGGGGGCGCCCAGGGCAGTCGTCGGAAGTGACAGGGCCGGGGAGGGGGGGCGACAAGGAGGTGCGGCACACCTGTCCCGGGCTCCTGGCAGTCGTGACTAATCTGCTCTTTAACGCTATGGTTATTGAATGTTCTTAGCTGAATTCCGAACGGCGGGTTCACGTAGCATTAAGGTCATGGATATTTGTATTTATCAAAAGGCCTGAGAAATTGAAGTTCTATACTAGGAGAGTTCCTAAGGTTAATGATAACATGTATATGATTTTTGATCCATGAGCAATGACAACAATCTCAAAAGCTTGTATTTGTATTTGTACTGGGTAAATGCTCTTCTTTTCAAAAAGCCCTTGCAGAAGAGAACCGAAGGCTTTGACAGGCACCGGAACTTGCCCGCCCGGACGGAGGGGGCAGGAATCCGGTGGAGGCCGCGTGCCTACCAGCGCTTCAGGGCGCAGGCACTGAGCAGGCGGCCAGAGTGGTTGGTCACATTAAGCACATAAACCAGGAGACTGAGAAATGACACTGAGGATGATGAAAGCCAGGTGTTATTCAGCTGGAGGAAGCATTTACAAAGACAGGAAGGGAGAGGGCCAGAAAACCCCGAGGTGTCGGACTGGAATTGAAGGTATGGATACGGACCTTAAAAATATAAACATACATCGCAGATAGACATAGTTACAGATGTGCGTGTATACACCCACAGAAATATATTGCCCGGTCTGTGTCCCCTGAGAGGGCCTAGACGCAGGAACACCCTAGAAAACACACACTACCCTCGAATCTTGCTTTCTAAATACCGTCCTCCGCTACCAAGAAACTGCTACTGGAGAAATGCTGATTCCAGGGCTGGGGCAGGGAGAGCACAAATGGAGGCTGGAACATCTTGTGCAGGAGGAGGGGGTGCAAAGAATGATGGAGACACATCAACAGAACCCAGGATCCCGCTGGATGGGGCTCTCATGGACCAAACTTGGACAATATTAACATCAAAATAATGAGAGCAATGGAATACTACCCACTGAATAAAATATTTTTCCACGAATCTACTGATAGACACAGATGACTAAACACTGAACAGAAGGGAAGTGTTTTCTTTATATTAGAAGGACAACACACACAGGTAGAGGAGGTGATGGAAACTTGACCAAGTAGCATTTGGCAGCGACCACGGCGACTCAGACAGAAGTCAGTGGCGAGGGCGACGGAGTCAGGTGGAGGCTCAGGAAGGAGATGACGCTGGAATCTCGGGACAGCTCCCTGCAAAATGCTGATCAATTCACAAGCGGGAAAATGGAGAAACCAAGCCGACACTGCTGGGACTGGCAGTCGCCTTGGGCTGGTGACGAGCACACAGTTTCTGTGGCATTCCTACCCAGGGTGCGCGGCCTGTCCCGAAGAAACGTCCGTGGACCCGGAGCGAGCCACCCTGTGGGCCACGAGCAGGCGCGTCCCCTCGCACTCCCCGCGGCGCTGTGCCTATGCTGTCCTCAGCGGCCCTGCCCAGCGCCTGGACGCTCAGCCTTCGGCTCCTCTTGTCCAGTCCATCCGTCTCCTGTTTGGTCGTTCCCTTTCCCTGCCTCTTTCTAGTTTCCCAGAATTGCTTTTCCCAAAGAAGCCTGCCTTCTGCTGCGTCTGAAAAGCCTGTGACTGATAATAAACTGGCAAAGCGTCAGGGACAGGAATGGTGGAGGACCTGTCCTACCTGGAGGGGACTGCACGTGTAATCCTGGACGGGCTCCTGGGGCAGAAAGGGGCATTCCTGACCCAGTTGTCCAAATCCAAATGGGGGTCTAGAGCAGACCGCACCTTAACTGACATCCTTTGAACGACACCTCCTGACGTGGGCGGCTGGGAGATTGGTCTGCTTTAGGGAAACGCACCGGGGGTACTCAGAGGTATCATGTCATGTGCAGAGCATGCTCTCAAGTGGCTCAGACGAGGCTAGGGAGAACGGGCACGAGCGTGTCCAAGCGCACACGCCACGTCGATCCTCTTGTCTCTGGACTGCGCATCTGCGCGCCTGCCCACTAGCTGAGAACCGTAATTCCAAATCCACGCGCGCGACGTCCGCAGTCACTGAGACACGGGCAGGGTGCTTAAGCCCCCCGGCACGCCGCCCGCGAGCAGCGACCAGGGTTCACGCCGAGCCTGACCCGGAGACAGCTGCCTTCTTCCTTCCGCTCCGGTGCTGCGAATGGCCGTCGCTGCGCGCGCGCTCACAGCAGGGCGTCCGCGCGTCTGTGCGCTTTGGCGGTGACTGGCTGTTTCAAGAGGCCCCCGGCCAGCGCTCGAGCCGGGTCCGACTCCCTGGGCCCGAGAAGACAGAGCGGTGACACGCAGAGGCAGCAGTCGTGCCGGGTGGGCGCACTGAGTTCAGAGCGAGTGAGTCACAGCGCTGTCACTGCGTCAGCGTGAACGAATCAACGCTCATCACATAAGGTGTCCTGGCAACAGGAACACATAGCGCAGGTTATGGTGGCCAAAGGGTGTCCGAGGCCAAGCCTGCCCCTCCGCGGGGTGCTGGTCGGCACTTGACCAGCAGCGGGCAGCGTCGGACGCTGGGGCGACACCCTGAGGCTGGGCCCGCCGCCCGCGACCTGCGCCCGGGATGACGCTCCGGGAGGGCGGCGCCGACGTCTTCGGCACCACTACAATGTCTATCTAAGCGGAGAACCACTGCGCCTTCTTTCGGAAACACGCAGTTTTTTCGCACTCGGGGACAGACCCGCTCCCGGACCGACTTGGCGGCGTCTGCGCCCCCTGGGGCCCCGGCCCACAGCCCCGCTGACTCTGCGGGCGCCGGGACAACGCACGCCGGCCGCGGCACTGGGAGCTCCGCTCGTGACGGCGGTGCCTCGGCGTTGTCCGACGCGGCTCCGAGGCCGTCGGCGCGCGCCGTAGCCCGACCGTGACTCAGCTACCCCGCGCCGCGCGACGGGCTCTGCGCCTGCGCAGAACTGTCTCATCGTGACTGCGCTCCCAGAAGCCGCTGGATTGTTGGAGAAGGGAGGCGGGAGGAAGAGAAAGGGGGCGAGCCGACGCGGCCGCGGCGGGACGGGATTGGTCGGCCTGCTAATGACCCTTGAGGGCACGCCGGGAACACCGGGCCGCGGCGGGACGGGATTGGCCTGTCGGGAGGTGTCGTCATCGGGGCGCGCGGGGAGGCCGCAGGGAAGGCGGCTCTCAGAGGGGTCGGCTGCGAATAAATGGAAGGGACCCACAAGCGGCGCGATGCTGCGCATTTCCGCGGGCTCGGACCAGCCGGGGTAGCCGTTCGGGTCCCGTTTCCTTCTTTTCGATCTTGTACTCCGCTGCTGACGACGGAAGGGGCGGCCCAGCTTCCCGTCTGCGCCACCTTGGGCTCGCCTCCCCGTCTGTCCGGGCCTCCGGACTAGAGGCAGGTACGAGACCGGGCTTGGGGAGCGGGGCTAGGGTCCAGGGCCGGGCCGGGCCGGGGCGCAGGGGCGGCAGCAGGCGTCTTGTAGCGCGGCGCTGGGGTCACACACGGTCGTAAACGTCGCCAGCCGCACGAGCCCCGGCTGGTGGGGGCAGAGAGCGTGGTAATGCCTTAGTAGAGTGACGCCAGGTCGGGGGCTCTCAGGCCGCTGCTGTGGTGTCAGGACCGAGGTCGAGTTCCCGTCAGTTCCTTCTACAAGGGATCGGAGTACCTGCCTGGTGTCGCGCGCTGTCATACAGCGACGGGCAAACCCGACGTGGACCCACGCTCCGCAGGGCTGATAGTAAAGGACGGACCTGTCGTGGGAAATCAACTGGGCCGGGAAAGAATTACCGGATCCTTGACGGGTAGCGAGGCTCTGTGGCCTAGGTGCAGCGTGGCGAGGATGGTGGCAAAGACCGTTTCGAGAGGGTGACTCTGGAGCGAGAGGAGGGGACGAGGACGTGTTGGCTGGGACTGGGGGGACAGCAGAGGAGACGCTCCCAGCCCTGGGGACTTGACTTCTGGGAGGGGCAAGAGTTTTCAGAGGTTTGGTGAGTACCGGGTGATGGAGCGGACCTTGTGAGGCCGCTCCGGGCCTGCTTTCTCTCAAGCGCAGTAGTGTTCTCCACGTGATCAGCTCCAGGTTGTCATTAAGGAGTAAGTTCTGAGTAAAACTCAATGCACGAGGGAGTCAGAGCAGCGAGGGACCCAGTTGAAAGCCTTCGGGGTAGTGCGGGCAGCGAGCGGGATTTCGCGCCTGGTAACGGTTTTGTCTACACCCACAAGCGTAGAAGAAACTGAGACAAAGTTCTCCCAGGCCGCAGCAGCTTTCGCTGGCAGCTGTGTCAGTTGAACAGTGGAGCCTCTGTCAATAGGCCCACTTTGGATTCATGAAACCGAGAATTCGGGGTGAGCTTCGTAAACCAGGAGTCGAAAGGGTTGAAAAACAGCGCGACTCGGTGGAGTGGGCTCCAGATCAGCTGGGACTTGTGCTGCCCCTCCCCCATGCATCTCTTTGCTGAAAGACCGGAACTTGTGAGGCTTCCGGTTCCCCGGGCCCTGGGATGACCGGGGACGATTAGGGTTCCCTGCGGAGTTTGTTGGCTTCCTACTTCCGTCAGCTGCCAGTTACAGACCCGGGGGCGGGACCAGGCCGCCCTCGCTCCGGCTCACTGCTCTGATTCCCGCAGGTGACCCCGCCGTGTGCCCTCCGTGTTCCCGACACGGTCCCACAATGGAGTTCCCGGATTTGGGGAAGCATTGTTCCGAAAAAGCTTGCAAGCAGCTAGGTGAGCACTTTCCAGAGAGTGCCAGTGGGAAGTGGGTGTTTTGCGGGCTGTTTTGTGGGGGAGAACTGGCCGTTAGGTTAGTGCCAGGACCCAGTGGACGGAAGTCTGCTGCTTAGCTGCTCCCGATACCACGCAAGACGGGGGTTTCCTTTGAAAAGACAGCTTTGCACGTGCTTCAGTGTCGCCGGCCTCGTGAGATTCATGACCGCCAACCGGTTCCTCACACGTGATAGCTCAAGGATGTTTCTCATATTCACGCAGAACTTAGTGTAGGGGAACGCCTATTTAAATGTGATCTGTAATTCTTTTGTCCTAGTTTTCAAAACACTTAATGTTTTTGTGTTTTGGTTTTTTTCCCCAGATTTTCTTCCATTAAAATGTGACATGTGTGAGCAAGATTTCTGTAAGGATCATTTTGCCTACGGTGCGCATAAATGTCCGTTTGCATTCAAGAAGGTAATTAATCTTTATTCAGAAGATTCTAATTCTCACTCTCTAAAGCTGTGCTGTTCAAAATAGACACGAGCCTTGTGTAGCTAATAACTTAATTAAAATAGAATAAAAATACCAACGTCTCAGTCACACTAGCCACCTTTCAGGTGTTCAGTGCCCACGCATGACAGTAGCTCCTGCATCAGACAGTGAAGACGTGGCGCCTTTCCAGCATCGCAGGAAGTTCCGAACAGCAGAGCCCTTAACGGAGAAAACAGATTTTACTTTCAGGGGCTTATGGAATCAAATTGTTTTTGTATCCAAACATTCAAAGCTTACTTTACATGTTACAATATGTAGTTGCTTTGATTCAAGGTAAAAAAGAAAGCCGTGTCTTCGTGGGGCACAAGAAGAGTTTAACGTTTGGTGTGGACTGTAATCGGGAAGGTATTGAAATGGCCCCTCCTCTGGGTAACTTTGCATCCTGACGCCATGTTTAAGTGGCTCAGGCCGCACAGGATCGAACCTGGGAGGTGACTCAGAACACCAGCTCACTGAGTCCGAAGGTTAGAGGCTCTTGTTCTGGACCTTGCAGGTGGCTCCCAGCCTTGCCTGGGTTCAGGGTGCCGTCGAGCCGGTTTCGGTGAGCTGTGTCGGTGCCTGCTGCCTCACGGCCGTGGTGGTCAGAAGTGGGAGCGGCTTGCGGTCCCTGCTCTGACCAGCACTAGCCGGGGTCCGACCTGCCAGTGCTCCCAGGTCACGGGGGTGGGGCAGGGTGACTCATGTGTGACTCATGGTCACCAGGCACTGGTGACGCACCGGTGACGAGGCCAGACTGCCCTGTGTGCTTGTTGGCTTGAGCTCCCCGTGTCTGTAGGCAGGGAGAGTCTGCCTGGCGATCAGGCAGTAACGCGTTATCCCCGAGCTCGGCAGACTCGCTGGCTGAAGGAGCAGGCCTGGGCGACCTTCCAGCGCAGCCCCAGACAACAGGCCCCATGCGCCTGCGATCGCCTGTCCCCTGCCCGGATGTCAGTCGTCACTTCAGGGTTCTCATTGGGCTCAGTCTCCTCTGCCCCGGCCCTGGCTCAGAGGGGGTCTCGACAGCGCTGGGCGGGCAGCAGCTGCGCGCTGCTGCGTGGCCCCTGCAGAGCCCGCCCCCGGCTCGGGCTGGGCGGGCATAGTGTGCCCGAGAGCTGCGCCCGGCCGTGGCCCCTTGCTGACTGAAGAGCGCCCCCCGCACGTGGAAGTCACAGAGGGGTCGGGGCAGCTGTTGGCAGCGGAAGGAGCTACAGGGTTTGCGGGTGGCGTTTTCTGCCTCCACCGCCACCGCTCCGATAGCATCGGGGCAGGTTCACCTCCAGCCTGGATGGCGCCGGACAAACCGCCCTCTGTCCTGAGACCATTGGGTCGAGTTCACCGGCTCCCCTCCTGGGCTACCTTTTACTGACTGACTCAGCATCATTTCTGCAGGCGGTTAGTGGTCACTTATGTTCAGATGCCACTAGATTCCATTTAAGGCAACTTTCTTAAGTTCTGGGGCGCCTTACTGTTGATCCCGAGCACCTCTTGCTCACGCGTGGTCGGCTTGGACCCCGTCTGCTTTTGAATGCACTGTACCGTCTGCCTTTTTCTTGTGTGTGTTTGGACTAGTCTGGAATGTCACCTGCGCTCCTTGTTTTCAGGATGTCCAGGTCCCAGTGTGCCCGCTTTGTGACCGCCCCATCCCAGTGAGGAAGGGGGAGGCACCGGACGTCGTGGTTGGCGAGCACATGGATAGAAACTGTCGACTCCGCGCTGGGAGGGAAGAGAAGGTGAGGACGGCCCTGCGCCGGCTCTGCGCGCACTGGGTTTCCTTGGGGAGCCGGCCAGCTTCCTACCGGAGACCAGCCCTGATGGCGCGTGTACAGGACAGCTCCGCTGGCAGTCCCTGCCGTCCTGGGCTGCGAGCGGCACCGGCTTGTGCAGTTGCACACACTCTCTGAGTGTTTGGGTCTCGGCAGGGATTCGCTTTCCTTAAGGGAACTTCACACTTTTCCTCCCAAAATGGAGAGTTTCCGTGGCTTCCAAGCACTGTTCTGTTCACATGCCCTTGCTTCCGAAGCACCTTCTGGGGGAGCGTAAGAGGAAGTGAAACTGAGCCCTGTTCTCGCTCGGTGGCCTTGGGGCTTCATCGGAGTCGGGCGCCTGGCCTGTGCGTGGGGAGCGGGGTGGCTCCTTGGCCCTGAGCCAGCGTGGCTCTTCGGGCATCTGCGTTGCCCCGGGCGCACGCACCGCCAGGCCCCGGGCGTGGCTCACGCGCTGCACTGGGGCGTTCCCTGTCCGTGCCGTGCGGGTGGAGCGCTGGGCTCCTGTCCCCCCCTGACTCCCACACAGTCTCCCCCCACGCCCGCCCTCCCAGCAGGTGCAGAGTGTGCTGTGGGTGGGTGTCCCAGGCCTCAGCCACCCTGGGGGCGCAGCTGAGGGATTCCCTGTGCATTTCTCTCTCGGGGGATCCCAGTGTCCTGCATCTCCCTTGCAGTCGGCGCCTGGTCTCTGGCCTGTGTTTCTTGGTTTATTCCCTTATTTTGGCGGCGGCACATCCCTCACTTTCTCCCTGCGGAGGAGGATGGAAGATAAGTGGACCTGGGTTTCCAGGGTCTTTATTTTCTGCTTCTGCTCGGTGGCTGCCTGGGAGAGCGTCCTGGCTCCAAAGCCCTCCCTCGGGTACCTGCAGGGGCGGCTTCGTTTCCTTGCTCGTGCCAGAGGATTCCCAGGCCGCCTTCTGTGGGCCTCAGGGGAACGGGTTTTCCTCTGGGAGGCTTGGAGGGTCTCCTCTGTCCAGTGGCTGGAAGCGGCACGGAATGCTCCTGGCGTGGGCCCACCTTTGTCTGATGAGTGGGTCACCCGCGCAGGGGCCCCTTCCAGATCTGAAACACCGGTGTTTTCCCCTGGAGCGTCATCCTGGTGTCTCTCGTTTCTCGTAGACCCCCGTTGGGCGCGGGACCTCTGGGCAGGTCTCCTGTCGTTCCTCTTAGGTCTTTTTTCTCCGTATAACCTGCGCCCAGGTCGTGTGTCCCATGAGTCCCCCTTGCCTGCCTGGGTGGCTGACCGCTCGTTTGCTCAGCGGGGGCAGCGTGGGCTCGGCCTTTGCTGTGGCTCGCCGCCCAGTCCGCGCCTCAGGAAAGCCTGGGGGTCTATGGCTCCCGGGCTCCCCCCTGAGCCAGGCAGGTGCCCTGCCTGCGAGTGTACCCCTGGCCTCCGGGTTCCCGAGCCCCGTGGAGAGGCAGGCAGGTCTCGCTGTGGGGCGTACCCCTCCTGTCCTCGGTGTCCCGGGCCCGGCCCGCCTTTCTCGTGGCCTCCCGCCCACCGCCCTCGCCCAGGCCGGCAGGCTCGCTCGGCCTCTGCAGGGCACAGGCCTCCCGCGGGCGTGGGAGGGGCCCACAGCCTGCGGGGGACACCCAGCGTCCTCCCGGCACCGGGCCCCTCCACTGTCCGCACGTGCTCGGCTCGCCGGAGGCAGCCACAGCTGCCTGTCCCTGCCGGGGGCTCCCGCAGGCGGCCGGACAGCCCCCTTCGCGGACGTCCTCACTCCACAGACACGGAAGTGCCTGGGAATTCATATCGGGCCCTCCACACACAGAGACCTGAGGCAGCAACGGCTGTAGAGGCTGGAGGCAGATACTCCAGCTCCCGGGCCCCTGGTGGGGCCAGTCCGTGTCTCTGGAGCCCTTGGAGCCAGCTGCCCTCGGTGGGACTGTGCGTGATGCCATGCGCGCGACCCCCCCGCCCCGTCCCCAGCCCGCACCGCCCAGCACACCTCGAACCCCCGGACACAGAGTCCCGTCTGAGCAGCCGCTTTTGTAGTCATCGCCTGTTAAACCTTTTCTGTCTCCTCACTTAGTATTCATTGCTTTACAGTAAAATGTTTGAGAAAAACCTTGATTTTTTTTCATTCCACGTAGTTAAGAACTATCTCTCGTTAAATGTTAACAGTCTTATTGGGGGACTTGTTAAATAATTGCGTATTGAAACAATCAAAATACTGAAGTAACTTTGTTTTTCTCAGATTTTTACGTACCGGTGCTCCAAAGAAGGATGTAAGAAGAAAGAGATGTTGCCAGTGGCTTGTGACCAGTGCCGTGGCAACTTCTGCATTAAGCACAGACACCCCCTGGATCACAGCTGCGTGTGCGGGAGCAGCCCGGTCAGCGTCGCCGGGTGAGGAGCCGTCGTGGCCACGATGTACTGGCCGCACGCCTCCTGTGAGACGGGCCGAACCAGCGTCCGCGCCGTGGAGCGGGGAGAGCAGCCTTGAGCGTTGTTCTTGGCCGGGGGGCGGATTTAGGGATTTGCCATAGGAGTTTGCGTGACCATAATTTCCATTAAAGTTGGACTTGAAGGTAAAGCTGGACTCCAGCTGTCTTGTTTCCTGGGGCTGCTGTAACAAACCGCTCTGGGCGGCCTAAACCACAGGAAGCCCTCATCCGTGGGCCTGGCAGTGGCAGCGGAGATGAAGGTGTCTCGAGGCCAGTTCCCCTGGGAGGTTTGGAGGGAGGGTCTGTCTCAGGCTCTCCCCTCGCTGCGGGTGGGCGCGCCAGGCCTCGGGACTCCTTGGCTTGTGGACGCATCTCCGCGGTCTGTCTCCGGGTTCCCCCAGTGTCCTCCCCGTGTTCAAATGCCCGCTTCCCATAAGGACGCTGGATCGAATTAGGGTCCCACCGCACTCTGCTGTGACCTCACCTTAACCTTAATTCCACTGCAACGGCCCTACTGTCAAGTGAGGTCACGTTCTCAGGCTCCGGGGGTTAGGGCTTCCACCCACCCTCTTAGGGACACACTGGAGCCCACTCACTACTGTTGTTGGCCAGAAGCGCCTTCCTCCAGTCGGTAGAAACTCCGGTAGAAACGGACCTTGCTGTGGAGTAGAAACGGAAGTGAGCTCCTTCCTCCTTCCATGGGGCTGTCTCCGCGGCCTGTGCCGCGCTGGGCTCCGGACCCGCTGCTGCTCTAAGCCTTGGCCTCCCCGCAAAGGCATGGGCTGACTGTGGGTCTGACCTCTCCGTGTAGGCGTTCAGCTGCGAGAGCCTCTGAATCCAAACCGTCGGGCGCTTGGAACACACTGGCTTCCCGCTGGCTGGCCCAGCGGCTCAGGTATGAGTTGGGATGGCACGTGTGGGTATGTTGCTTTTGTGCTGGGGTGGCAGCCCCTTGTTCCCGCAGTGACTGTGGAAGGGCCGCTGTAGCGCGGTCACCGGCTGACCATTGCAACGGCAGGGCCCCGTGGTGCCCAGCCTCACAGGGAGCGTCTAGGACTGGAGCTTTCTCAAACCCCTGAGTGCAGGCGTCGTTTATTCCAGCTCAGGGGTACTCAAACAGTGACATTTCAGAGCGGCTTCTCAGGCGCCCTTTTTGGCCTATTCCTATGTGATCCACCACTTCTGCTTAATTGAGATGAATCTAAGAAGCTCTTCATTTGTTCTCTTTCAGGTCAAAAGCAAAGCGATGACATGCCTGTGTCCATTGAAGCTGGCGCATTAGTTTACTGTCTATTTTTGTACATTCTGTTAATTTTGTGGGTGACTGCGGTGCCCCAGCGCTTTCACGCTTCTCACGGCAAAGCTCAAGCTCTGAACTCTTCCAGTGAAGTGTGCAAACCCTTCCGCAAGCGAAGCGGTGGGAGGCGCGCGCGCTCTAAAGCGGGTTAAGCGGCTCTGACATCCTCCCCTTGCTCCAAATACTATAGAATGAAGCGGCTCGAGGGGCCGAGGGGCCGAGGGGCCAAGTGTCGGATGTGAGGGCAGCTCTGCCCTGGGCTCCGTCAGGGATGCAGTTTTCCGAAGCCGCATCATTTGAACGGCAGGCAGCCGGTTCATCACGGAGCTTCTGCGGGGACGTGGCTGTCAGCTCAGGAGACGGGGAGGACCTCTGCCCCCCTCATGAAGGGTCCTAGTCCAGAGGTGGCCCCACCCACTGCACCTGTTCCCCTGACCACACTGACTCCGAGCGTTAGACTTACACTGGCAACCTCAGAGTGTGGCGTGAGAACTCTTGCTTCCTGGGCCCTGGGTGTCAGGAAGTGGGGGAAGAAGATGCCACCCGAGCTGGGCTCTGGTGCCAATGCACTGGCCACCCCACGCTGCATCACACACTGCCTTTGCACCTGGATGGACAGACCTAAGCAGTTACACTCTCTCCTGGCTTTATAGCCTTAAAATACTATGGAGGGGGACCTGTACTCCACAAACAGCTGGTCCGAGCTCTTTCTGCGCTCTCATTGGTGGTTCTCCAGCCTTAGAGTCACCCAGAGGCCCTGTTGGGAAATGCGGGCCCCACCCCCAGAGTGTGGTTCCAGGGGCTGGTGTGGACCTTGACAAGGGGCACTTCCCAACGCTCCCCGCTGAGGCTGCCGCTGCCGCTGGTGCCACCGCCACCGCTCCTGCACCAGCGCCCACTGTGTGGCCATGGCGGGTGTGTCCCTGAGCGCACGGAAGGCAGCCAGCACAACCGCGGCACTCAAACATAGTCCGGGTTAAAGCTATTAACTCCATCAGCTCCTAGGAAACTAAAGCATGTCAGGAGCTTCAGTATGTAGGTCTACTTTTTGAACTGTAAGTTTTATGAAATCTAAATACAGATCAGTTCCTTCTAATGAACATCACTGTCCAAACTCAGATCTGTCCAAATCGAGAATAAAACACTGGGCTTTGTAGGTAATAACGGAAATTTGAAAACTAAAATATCTCACTGTTAAAAAGTTATGTTGAAATGATAATATTTTGTATATGATTGAATAAATTTTTTTTTTTTTACTGGTTTTTGTTTTTTTAAAGTGGCTACTACTAACGAGAAATTTTAAGAATAAGTAGGTGGCTTGCATGCTATTTTGTTAGCATTGTTCCCGATCCTCAAAACAAGGACAAAACACATCCACGGGTTATCAGGAAGCACTGGCGCTTCTGAGTCTGCCCGCGTTTCCGCCTTCAGTTGGGTCTGGTGGGTCGGACTGGACGCGCCACGCCGACCTTTTGGAGGCGCTCCAGGCCCCTCGCAGCTCCCCGGTGTGCCGCGTCACGGGTGTCCGGGTGTCCCAGTGGGGCGCAGAGTTAGGGAAGCAGAAGTCCCTGGCTCTGGTCACGCTCCGCGGCTCTGAGTGTTCGCATCCGGGGGTTCTCGTCACTTACAAACACGGAGGCCCCGGTCTCCCTGCCTTCCCGGGCTCTGCCGCGGGCGTCCGCTCCGCGCTGAGGGCTCACCACGTGGCGGCGTGCCAAGGGGTGGGGAAGCCGCATTGTAAGTTTTCATACAAGGTGCCCGTGTTAACATTAGTATTAGGAAGTTTGGAGAATTCTCCTTAGTGTCGAAAGTTCGCAGGCGTCCTCCGTTCATTTACGTCCAGGGAACCCCGCACTCGGAGACACCAGCCCCACAACTGCCGTCCCCTACGCCAGAATCCGCGGCGTGGGGCCCCAGCCCTGTGGGCCGCACGTGTGGAGGGGTTGCCTGGCAACCGGGGGCTCTCGGCCACCGGCGGCGTCCTGAGATGACGCAACCGTCTGCGCCGGCCCCGCCCCCTCACGGCTGCTGCTTGCCATTGGACAGCTGGGAGACGGAGGCGGGCCTCAGCCAATGGGCGGTGCCGCTCAGGAAGGCGGGACCGCGTTACCTGAGCGCCGCGCCTGCCGGAAGCCCGCGTCGGCGGCCACGCGCAGGTAGGCGAGCGCGGCGGAGTCTCGGGGTCGCTGAGCAGCCGCTGTGTGGGGGCGCGGGCCCGGCTGGAGCACCTGCGGGGGGGCGGGAGGGACACGTGGAGGGCCTCGGTGTCCTTCGCCTCCGGGCGGTCCTGCGGCACGCGAGGACCGAGCCACCGCCGCCTCAGACTTTCTGTCACCGCGCGTCGCGTGGCTCTCGCCGCTCCAGGCGCCGGGCACGGACAGGTCTGGTGCAGTTGCGTGGATCGGGGGCGGGAAGGAAGAAGTCAGGTGACGGTGATGAGCACGAGGGAGAAACACCCCGCGTCGGTCGCTGTCAGAGCACCGCCGAGGGAGCGCGCGTGCGGGGCCCTGCCCGGAGCGCGGTGCGGCCACGCGAAGCGAGCGCGGGCTGGGGGCGGGAGGCGGGGAGAGCGCGGGGCCTGCAGGCCTGGGCGAGGACACCCGCTTTCTCCACGCGACGCGGGACCCCCGGGGCGGTTTTCCAGCCGAGGCCAGGCGTCATCCGATGCCGCGTCGGCGTCGCCAATGGCCTGGCCGGCCGGGGCCAGGGCGGGGCTGCTGTGGAACGAGGCTGGGGACGGGCCTCTGTCTAGGCGCCGGCTGGATCGCCCTGGCTCCCTTGCGTCTTTCAGGCCGGCAGTTTTTGTGGGGATTAGGGTCGTCGTCAGACGGATGCGACCCTGAGCCGTTGGAAGCCGTGTTAGCGTTTCGTTCAGGTCTTTCCAGGCCGGGGCTGGGGGCTCGTGCGGGGACGGCTCCGAGGAGCCTGGTGCAGTTCGGCCAGGGGAGGGTCTTTCCTGTGGACACGCGGGCGACACCCGTGATGTCACGGTGATTCTTTGGCGGCTCGGCTGGGGCGAAGTGCCGGTGGGAGGGGTCACGGGAGAATGGCAGGCGGGGAGTTAGTGCAAGCGGGCCCCGCTGAGGATTTTCCCGAGAAGGAAGCAGGCGCCGGGTGGAGAGCGCCTGGAATGGGGGGCTTGTAAGATGTGGGGCCTTGTGGCTGATTCACTGGAAGGGACAGGCACTGCTCAGAGCGCCGCTGGAGCAGGCGGGACGGCCTCAGCCCAGGGGAGGAGCGCCGGCCTTGGCCGGAGCTGGGCCGGGTCTACTGTAGCAGGAGAGAAGGAGACGTGGGAGCTGCAGGAAGCCCAGTGTCGGGAATCAAATCCTTCCCCCGAGAACGGGAAGGGAGTGATGTTGGGCTGGAGAGAGTAGAGGTGAAGGGACGGAGGGGTCTCCTGGGCACGGGGCTGCCTGCGGGAAGGGTGGTGGGCGTACTGGGTAGCCCGAGAGAGCCCCTTGGGCTGGTGACACCAGTCCGTCTGGCCCCGGGGTCCGGCCGGCAGGAGCAGGCGCAGGAGCTGGGGCTTTGCCAGGGAGGAGCTGAGAGTGCTTGGAAGGCGAGGTTGCGATGGTGGACCTCGGACGTGAGGTTGTGGGAGTGGAGTGAAGAGGGGCGAGGGCCGCTGGGCCACGGAGGGTCCGTGGATCGCAGGCCTCGGTGGGGTTGAAGGGTTCTTGCACCCCACGGTGCCGGCCGGTGGCGAGCAGGAAAGAGCCAGGAGGATGGGAGGTGGCGGGCTTGGCGGGCAGGGAGCTTGTTGGTGTGGTCCTAACAGGGTTAGAGTTTGGCGTTGGGGGGCGGGAGGGAGAGGGTCGGGTCAGGGAGCAGAAGAGCAGAAGCTGCAGGGGCGAGTCAGGACTTGGAAGAGCCCTGTGTCCAGCAGGGCAGCAGCAAAGCCCAGCCCCGGGCGTGGGCAGGGGGCCCCAGCTCCCCGGTGCCTGGGGCCGAGCTGGAGGGCTGTGGGTGGGGGACCCAGGCCTCGCTCAGGGGCCCTGCCCAACGAGTTGGGAGGGCCCTCCCCTGTTTCCTGCCAAGACATCTGAAGTGACTGAGACACACGAAGCGAGAGGGGACCTGGGCACCACGAGGGATTGTTTTCAGGGTTTAAAAAAAAGATTCTTCTTCCTAGAGGCTGATTTACTGTTTCAGGGGCCTGGGCGGCGGCCTTTCAGCTGTGGCTGTCTGGCAGCCGCAGCCGGTTGGCTCTGACCGAGCCGATCGGGGGTCGCAGCCCAGCCCAAACACTGGCAGCTTCTCGTGTCTGCCTGACCCAGGCAGCCCGCGCTCGGCTGATGGAATTGTTTTCCTTCAATGAGCTTGCTGAGCTGGTCTCGTAAAATAAGTCTCTCGCTGGAGAAATTACAGAGAAGTATAAGGGGAAAAATAAACATTCTTGTACATCTGCTCCCTAAAATGTTAACACCGTAATGTATTTCCGTCTAGTTTTTTCCTCTCTGCATGTTTGTATAGGATTTCTCTTGCAAAATGAGGGTCTTTCTTCACACAGCCCATCTCTTCCCCTTCCGCTGTGTCCTGAGCACTTACGGCTGAGGGACGTTTCGGTGCCCGGTGGACCACGCTCTGTCCATCCACCGCCGGTTGACCAACTTGCAGGTTGTTTCCACGCTTCCACCTCTTGGCTATTACGACTAATGCTGTTGTGAACAGTAGTGTTCAAAGTGCCACGCAGCAGCATGTGGTTTCTCAAGTACATAGCCGGGAGCGGTGCGGCATGGTTGCGTGATGGTGTGCGGCCTCCGGCGGGCTTCCCGGGCGGCCCCGCAGTGCGTGGGGGCTCGCCCCTCACCCCCGCCTCCACCTGCATTTGCTGTGCTTCTCTGACCCGGCACCGAGCCGCCAGCGGCCAGTGGCGAGTCCTCTGATGGGCGAGTCCCTGATGACTAGCGTGCCCCTGATTTTTGGCCCCTCGTGTATCTTGTTTGGATAAATAAACATTCACACCTCTTTGCCCATTTTTAAATAAGGTTATTTGTCTCTTTTGTTGAGTTGCAAGAGTTGTTCTACATTTGGGGAGCAGTCTCCTGTCAGACAGATGACTTGCAGGTGTTTTCTGCAGTTCCGTGTGTGGGCTGCCTTTTTACTTCCTGGCTGGCATCGTTCGCAGCAGACGTTTTTAATTTTGACAAGTTTACTGTGTATTTCTTTTGCTGCTTATGTTTCTGGCATCACATCTGAGAAATTGCCGTCTA